TTTTGTGCGACTTAAATTTGAATCATATTTATTTCCTCTTTGTAGTTATAATTAATAATTTTAAAATAAATTTAAAAAAAACATAGTAAGCGCTCGGAAAGATGAAAAAGAAGGTTTCTTCGGTGAGAACATTCTACAGATGAATTTGCAGTTGCTCTGACAAATTCAGTATGCCTAATGTTTTATTGCATTCTTAGAAAATGGTTTAACACTATTTTGCCTAACCTCGTTCCCCCTAAAGGATACTGAACGCCGAAGGAAAAAGAGCCCTTTTTCCATTTTCTGGTAAACCAGTTTAAGCTGGCACATATCACATTCTCAAAGCATTCTCACGGTCGACTGCCTCGCCGGGCCCTCAACGTGCCTCTCCCTTCCATCACCCGTAACCATTCTCTCGTGGAGCGTTTTCGCTCTCTGCCATATTACTCGCTCCTTCCCCCCCCCCGCCCGCTCGCACTAGCTCGCTCTGGCCGGGCGCGGCTGCGAAACAGGAGGCGCCGGCAGCGGCCGCGTTTTCCCCAACGCTGCCTCCGACGACTCGCGGAACAAATGGCGCTTGTTCCTCTTCGGGGATTTCTCTATGACGGCTGTGGCTCTGGTGCCCCGCAATTACGAGGAGCGCGCCAACGGCTGCCTTTGTGCAGCGCGCGGTTCAATTGGCGACCGCCCACGGCGAGCACTAATTTTGCGATTATTATTGCACATTACGGGGGCCGGCGGACAAAACGGCAGCGTTTATTTACCCGTCAGGGCTCACTATCGTGTCATTTAGCTCCGCGATGACTATTTCGAGTCGTATCATATGCGCTGATGCCGCCTTCCGGTCACAGTAGTGGACGAGAGCTCTATTCAATTGACGTGCGTGCTCGACACATTAGTACGTGTGCACAAACTCATTTGATAGCAATCTCTACATATTTGCACAAACACAACCTACCAATCAGGGATTAGATCAGATGATAAGAATTTTCCATTATATCTTTTTATTGCGAAAGGAATGTAGCGCAGAAGAATACTTTCACATTTACTACAAAATATTTTTGATGCAATGATATAAAATACCGAGGAAAATAAAGTATAATACTTCAATTAATGCATCAATCAATAACTAAACATTCCAAATTACGTATTTATTAAGCTTATTATTTTTACTTATGAATTATTACTAATATATTTTCCTCCAACTTTGATGAATGCTTACATACATTCCTTGCTTATGTTAAACGAAGTAAACTACCCGGCGTTGCCCGGGAATTTATTTATACGTATCAACATGCTGGGAGGCAACGATATGAATTTTATCAATACGGTATTCTCAGAATGCCGTATTGATAACAAAGTCTCTCCTGCTCCACCGCCCTGTTCGGTTCACCCCGTCACTTCTCCAATGATACAGACCATGCCGCCCCGCCATACTCCGCCTCTTTCTGCCTGTCCAGATTAGCTAGATCATTCCCGTTCTGAACTGACTCCCTCAACTCTGCCCTGTTTCTCCTCGCCCCGTTTCCCCTTTCTTTCCTGACCTACTCTGCGGTAAGTGACTTGGTTCTCAAAAGACGAAAAATATGACCTTCTCTGACAAGCACAATATTTAATTCTTTAATAGCTGATTTACTTCTCAATAATTATTTTTCTTGAAACTACTTTACACTAAACGCCAAACTCAGAATTTTTAGTAAATATTTCTAATAACAAAGAAGTCACAGGTGTCCTGGCTTAACTTAACCTGAATTGTTTAAACTTCCCCCTAATAATTTAAAAACTAATTGCATTTCAAAAGCGAATAGATATCAATTAATAGAAAATATAATTATTCAAGAAGATTAGCTTTAGATTATCATTTTTGATGTTTACCCTCTCCTTACTTGATAGTTGCGGGAATCAATTGCAGTGAATTCATTTTTTTTCACCTGATTTAAGAGTTGTGAATTAATTCATTGTGTTTCTAGTACAGACAAAACGGAAGAAATTCTTCCTGATTGATGATTCAAGATGAATTGCCACACAAGAAGAATTAATGGACCTTCCAATGCCATGAAGTCTTATTCACAAGGAACCTTATTAACAAGGCTCATCCATTGAAAAAGTTAAATTCACATTGACATTGTCACGCATCAACATTAATTTCAACAGTTAAAAAATCTGCAGTTAATGAATATCTAGCTAGTTACAGTTTTCAAAATGGTATATAAAATAACTGTGTATTCAATTGCAGGAATTTTTTAATAAAACTAGTTTGTTACGTATATTCTGATCTCTTGTTTTCCAGCTGTCTGGTCTGCATAATACGACTCGTTGCAAACAATTATTGAAATGTTACGATACATTAAATATACAATATTACATTAATTAATTAGTTGATTTCATTTGTGAAATAACCTTGGAAAATACCTCTCGTGCTTTCACAATTTCTCGGATAAATTCATTGGGAAATTTATCGACCATTTCCAACACACTCATCGCATTACCTATGCTGTTGCCCGCGAGTGACGCTTTCGCCGCCACGCCCACTTCCTCCCTGCGCAGGCCGCCCCGCGCCGCCCCGCGCCGGCCCGCTTCCGTTGGTCCTTGCGAGGGCTCCGAGTGCCGCGCAGCGCGGCCCCTGCCGGCGGAGCCAATCTGATTACCGGCGCGGAGTCGGTAATTAATATTTAATTTCGCTCTCCCGCGGCGCATAATTCACTCTCAGGCGCCATTTTCGACGCCCCGGCGCCGCCGCCGCCGCAAAAAGAACTCCCCCGTCCCCGCCCCTAGGTTCCGCCCTCGAAGCGTGCCGCCTTTGTCTGCACGAGTCACTTGGGCGAAATGTCAGTGCTCGAATGTATTGTGTGCTGGAGGACGTCCGTCTCTGTACCCAATGAATGGGAAATAGGACTAACATGGACTCAGGACCGTGAAGTCAAACGGTAAAGGAACACGATTGCATTAAATATCTCACAGATGTCATAATTGCCATCACTAGATGTACATATATTAAAATATTATCAGAGGGAGTATTTCTTCATTAAAGACATTTATTTATTCCAACATTTACTCCGTAACATTTTCTATTCACACGAAAGTTTCGCAGAATAATGATTAGCGAGTAACAGGGTCGCCAGATGCGCCCATCTGCGTTTCATATATCGCAAACAGCAGTAATGCCTTGCTGATTTGCCAGGTTAAACAGTTAAATAATGGTATCGTATCTCATACATGATCAGTGTCGTAAATGTAAAAATTATGTCATTAATAAATTTGACCCATGGGGTAATAGAAATATTTTCATTTTATCGTATGGACTTCATTCACTATGTTTACTCATTCTTGATAAAAGGGAAAATTGTTATTATTCACGAAGGGTCAACCATACACAATTGTTACAAAATATGTATCCCAGTAGAGGATCATTTTACATGGATTGTAATTAGCGGACAGTTTTCATTTGAAAGTGTACAGCATGTACAGGGCATCATGTGAATAATTCCAGTTTTTGTCCTCCCACTCCATACGTTTTCCACAATTTTGAAACATCACGAAAAATTACTAGTTTTCCCTCATTTAGTCACTTATGGCATTTGAGATGAAAATAAACAGCGTAAGATATTAAAGAACAGAATTTCACTTCCAAAAATGCGTCTGAAGACAGTTCAGTGTTTAAACGCTATCCTAATTTGGAGAACAGAAAATTTGAAGAGATAGTTAAAATAGTAGTAATATCTTTTAAGATAACTGTTACAATTTTACAAGAACAGCATATGATGCAAGAAAGTAAGTTGAAGGAACACAAGCCACCGAACGACCGAGCGCATAAGACATTCCCCGAATGTGACAGCTGGAGATCTGAGATCCAGCGTTTTCTTTGGAAAAGCATCTCCGGGGCAGCGTTATTCTCTCCCCACGAGGCTCCAAGCAGCCGGAGCTCTTTCGCTGTCCGCTGGCTCTGTTCCCCTGGGGGATCGGCCCGGCCTCCCAGCGGCCGCGGCGGCGCACAGACCAAAAAAAAATTCGGAACTTCATTAACCGTCCATTTCTCCCCAAGTTGTTAGCGAAATAACTCGCGGCAGTTTACCCTTCGGCAGAAACAGGCTCAGCCACCCTCGCCCTTCCCCCTCCCTTGCTTGCTTCTTCCCGGCCAGTTTTCCGAAGACGCTCGCGCGCTTCCGTTCCCGGCCTTCTGGCCTCCTGGCCTTCTGCGCTCGCCCTGCCGTGCCTCGCTGGGCCCGCGTCCTCCATTCTGCGCTGCCGCCGGCGGAACCAAAGCCGCGCTCTGCAGAAAACCTGCAAAGTTCGGGAACATCTGGGCCTGGCTCGCCAATGTTTCGCTAAGGAAACGGGTATGGGAGGTTAGTTATAACGTCGAAGCTAAAATATGAAGTAATTATTCAACAAGTATTGGGGTAAGAGAAATCATTATGTTTGCCTTCTATATTAGCTAATTTTTTGTATAGTCATTCGTCACCGATACTTTTGCTAACAAATGATATAACATATATACACATTATGTGACGTTGAAATGATTCTTATTTGCTGTGAATGGAATTTAGCAGCATTACTATAATGTACTACATGATAGTACTGTCTTAGAATGTAGAAAAAAATGTAAATGAAAGGTGGAGACTTGGCACCATTTTGAACCAGAATATGCGGAAATGCTTTAACCTCATTATTCCAAAAAATACTAAACCGATGTTTTGAATTTCCAAAACGACAACAAACACTAATGCCTCATGTAATTCGATGAAACACAGCTGCATATGGGAAGTTGATGAAGGACTATGGTAAAAATTTTAAGCGACCTACTTCAGATGCTAGTGGGATGTCGATATGGTGCTACTGATTGTCTTTAGCGAAAATATTTCTTACTGGTTAATGTAATAATATTCACGTCACTTTACATTATACTTCAGAATTAGTTAGAATTTGCTATATTATCACTGTGTTAGCACCTTTCGATGCTATTATATGGGACGCACTTATTTTCATTTTAAAAAGACGTCCAAAGCTTCTTAAAACCCTAATCAGTATTTCAACCTTAAACCCTGAATAAAAGAAACGCATAAAGGGGAACAAAAGATATTGCCTTTCACTTCAAAAATATTTTCAATAGAATAAGAAGATAAAAAAATAAATCCGATCCAGATGCGATACAAAAAGAAGCATCTCCATTTTATATTTGTTCATTGAGGTCGTCGCAAACCTTTAATATTTTTGTATTAAAACAGTTATTTTATTTTAATTAATTGTATTATTTTAACCATAAATGTAATTTCAATACATATTTGTTACCTTTTTTGCCGATTTGTCATCATTGCGTTGCTTGCGTTGCATCAAAAGGTTTAAAGAAAATACATAACAAACAACACACTACGCACGGTTCTGAGCTCTTTGCATGCATGATTTAAAAGAAAAGTTGTCTAAATATCTCTTCAATAATTGCACTTGAAAAACGTACTTGACAGCGCCTCTACCAAAACGATATCATCCTGTCTGAAACGAAAGGAAAGAGTGCTTTGAAACGCATTAATAAGTGAAGGTTATACAGGTCAATGCCCTTGCAATTCCGTGCTGCCTTTCGTACAATCGGGACCGCCTCCAGCAGAAAGGCAGGTAGCACTGCCAATAATCAGGAGAAGAAAGATTCGCAGCTAGAAAAGATCGCCCTCAGATTAAAATTTCTCTCGCAAAATGCACTTACAAAAGGATTTATTTTATATCACTAGTGAATATAGAATATCAGAATTTCAGATTTTATTTTTAATTTCGGGTAAGTAGTCCTACGCCTCAACATGTGTATTTGATGAAACAAAGTCATCAACATTCAAGAGAACTAATTAATGTTTACCTTGCCAAGTGTAATTTCGTTTATACGTTATTTGTAGATTCATGTTACATATATTTTCGTTTCGGATTCTCGCTTTATCAGGGAACTCTAGTTGTATCGTAGCTAATATTCTGGAAGGAACACCGCGTGGAAACCATTCACTCGCATTCTCTGAGCTTCTGCCTGCTCCATGCCCCGATCGGCCCACAGCCCAATTGACGTTGACCTGAATTTTTAACCGCTCTGGGATTATTATATGGATGAATTGGAAGTTTAGATGCAATACTCGGGGAACTAACAATATTGGCATGATGAAAACATCCTGGCCTTATGCAGTATTTGAACCCGCGTCCTTCTATCTTCCGCTCTATGCAACAGTTTTCTGTATATGGTCGGCACACATTGCAACTTATTTTCCTGTATAATTTTCAAACAATATTTTCGTGATATTTGAATTAGTAATATTAAATTAAAAAAGTATGGTTGATTTTATTTGCTAATGTATTATCTTCACAAACTACTACAAAAAATTGCACATTGTATTTTTTAATAATCTAGTTTCTTTGACAATATTATACAATATTTATCAATATTGTAGTTATGCAATATTAATTTTTTCTATTTTCTACATTACAAAGCTCACCGAAAAAAGAACTCGGTGGGTACTTCTTAGACTAGCATTTCTCTCTATTCGAGAAAAAATGAAGCAAACATTTTAAGGCAACTTTAGAAAAAATATTTTTAAATCGTCTATAATTTCAACAAAATTACGAGACAATTAGTCATATTTTCGAAACATTGTACTGAACAGATTTTGTTTGAGAAAAATATCTATCATCAATATTATACTTTTGGGATGTTAATATTTTGCAATTTTCGAAAATAAAGCCGACGAAATAAAGTCAACGAAAATTAGACCTGCAAGAGACCTTCATACAACTTTAAGAAGCGTAATTTCTTAAGTACTAAATTTAAAGTTTTCTTTCGTTTCAAAATTTTCATTATAATTACTAATAGGTTCTTAAAATGGGATACGCAAACCTCAATGGGATCACAAAGAGGTTTTAGAGAGATCCTGAAGAGTCCACCAGGTAAAATTTTGGGATATTTGCTATTGTTGCCATTTCCCAGCAAACGAATTCCTCCTATGTTTGTTAAAGTAGTTTAGGCACACTGCATTTTTAGAATGCTACATAGTATTGAAGATTAGGTCCACTGTGCTTCCAGAAATGGCACGCATTGGCGCGCAATCGGCCCACACCAGCATCGTCAATCTTATGTCTTCAGGATTGCCTTCCCTGTCGGTCGATTTTTTTATTATGTAGGAGGAAGTTAGAGTTTGTGCAGCTGCTGAACAAGGTGTCGAAAGTGCCGAAAACAGTTTCGACACAACTGTCATGCATTTTCAATCTGAACCAATGATTTTTCTCTGAGAGAAGGGGGAGGTTCAGGTATAATGTTAAGCCGAGTTTATGCTTATTATAAACAATTCTTTCTTTAAGCTGAATATAAAATACATTTTAATTGTTGACTTACAGTCAATACTCATAACGTTAACAGTTTGATATATTAAATTACTTTCATCAGAATAGAAAATTAGTAATAATTTTATATCTAAATACCATTGCCTTGTGGGGGCGGGTGCTAAAGCCGCTGGAGCCTTTTTGAGTGCGCTACATCACAACTTTCATTTTACTATCAAATAATTTAGAGACTATACGTATCCCATACACACAAACATTTATTTAGTTGCTACATTTTAAAATTGCATAAAAAGTGTTAGATCAATTCAAATAAATTGAAAATACAGCCACCAAATTATCCTCCTCGTTTCGTGCGGAGAAAACATGCTAACTTCAAGTTTGTCTTTTCGAAGACAGTGTAACCAGTGGTGACAATCGTTCGCGCACCCTGCTCTAATAGTCCTAAAGGATTCCTGTTAGGGGAGGGAGGAAGGGCCGCCGCGTCGCGCCGCGACAGGACGGAGGGGAAGGGCAACGAGCTCCCAAACAAAGCGGTTTCCAAAGTTCCGAATTCGGATGGGGAAGCCGCGCACGCCGATCCAATTAACAAAGGACTGGAGATGCCCTGCGATGTGGCTAAAGAGGCATTTGCGGTCCTATAAAAACTTTCTCACCGCCGTAGTCCGCGATTCGGGCTGAATGTTTTGGAGCTCCTAACTTGAACTATTTGTTGGGGTTAGAGGAATTTTCATGACGACACTCCTTCCTGTTCACATTTCTTGTGCAACTAGGGATGAGGTAATACGTATGTAAGTAATTCTTTTCATGAAATCGGAAAGTTTATTATTAATATTATTAATACTAATTTCTATTATTATTACTTTCATTATTATTACGAAAAATATGAGGTATTTATTATTACGCCATTTCTAGCACTTCCCAGTGTTATGAACGACTTGGTAGTTCTGTTAAGTCCTTGCATTTGGCGCTACAAATCTCCGAGCTCTGACAAGTTTCGGGATAACTGTACTATTAACACTCCACATATTTTTTAAATTCAACTCGGAATAAAGCATGAGCAATAATATGATACTCGTGTAACTTACATTATATTACAAGTACAATAAACATACGTTTTTTCATTAAGTGTGTCACAACAAAAGATCAAAATCTAGCTAATGTTAGGAGTGCCGCGTTATAGACAAATGCATATTAGCCAAAAACGGATAAAATGGTAAAACTGACTTTCAATGGATCGTTTCGGATTTTATCAAACTTATGTTCGTATCATCCACAGGAATCTAGCTAATTTAAGCTATCTATTTGAGTATGTGTGGTGTCTTGTGTGAAAGAAAGAGGTAGTGTGGCATATAAATATGTTGAAAATTATCCGTTTCTTAGACTCAATTTTACTCAGAATTGTATAAACGGAACTTAATATCTGAGTAAGAGAAACTGAAAACTACACGAACATCTCTCAAGCGGTTTAGAAACATTCCACCAGCTGTCTGAAACATAGCTCCCAATTCACCGTAATCATTTCATCACTTACACAAGCTACCTTGTGTTGGATATTATGCACTACAACGTGTTTAAGTCCGAAACATGCTTCGAAGCTGTTGACTTTATTCCCTCATTCTAAACAAATAGAATATAAATTATTCGGATTCATACTTTATTGGTAATGAATATATCAAGTATTTAAATCACTAAGAGTTTTAGTTTAGAAAGAAAATTCAGCTTTCTACTCCCCCATGTTTCTTTCTCTCTCAGTTTTCTCCTTTTTAGAAAGAAAATTCAACTTTCTACTCCCCCGTTTCTTTCTCTCTCAGTTTTCTCCTTTAAATGAAAGATTGTGGAAATAAGTGTTACCATTCGCTGATCTTAACCTGTTTTAAAGCATAAACATTAGATTAATAATATTTTAAAATTATAAAATTAATTCTTAAGTGTTTGGATTTGTTCATTATTTTCGTCTACGAATTGCATGCGATCTATTGCAAGCTGTTGTAGTTTGGCGCAACATAGCTTGTCTTCTACACACTCTGGTCACACAGCGCGAACAGTTGTGTGAATGAGGAGTTAAGAGCTGTGTTTAAAAAGGCCCTGACTGTGCAAACATGCACATTACAACTGAAAATGTAAGTTATTTACTACGAGGTCTGTGCTTTTCTAAATACCAGAAATATGAGACCTTGTAAAGTTTACCTGCATAATGTTTACCTACAATGTGCCTGAATATGATCACTGTGGGATCCTTTTGACGGTTCATTTGCCCCAGGCGTATTTTACTGAAGCCAATATTTCAGAGCCATTACCTCAAGTATTGTTAAAATTCACTAAAACACTTCTAAATTTAATTTAAAACCATATATTGAAATATATTAAAATTCTCTCGTATTAACACTACAATAAAATTAATTTTTTAACAAAAACATTTTCCACGAATACTCCAAAATTAATGTGTAGTAGATAGAAATACACTATACTCCTTCAACCGTTCTGATCAAACCAAGAATCTCAAAAACGTATCTATTTCGAAACGCAAACACGAAGAGAAAAATATTCAATGAGGTGGCCTCTTCCTTGTAGTTTTGCTGTCGCATGATCTCAGATCTGTCGCAATAAATTACCCATTGAATATGAGATTTCAGTCGGTACGCACAGAACGAGAGTAAGAGTAATTATACAATCATTTTTTTGTATTTTTTAAGAAAAAATCGAACTATTTGTTTGATTTTCCTCGAGTTTTTGG